TAAAAAATGTATTAAAAATCAGCAAAAGCTTCACGTCAAACTCCTGAAAAACCCTTAAGTACTAAGTAAAGTAAATGCAGAACATCCAACATACATGTTACGGTATTTATTAATTAATTCATTTATTCATTCATTCATTCATTCACTCATTTATTTATTTATCTATTTGTTTATTTATTCATTCATTCATTCATTCATTCATTGACTCATTTATTTATTTATTTATTTATTTATTTATTCATTCATTCATTCATTCATTCATTTATTTGCACTCTTCATCTTCTAAAATAAAATAATAAACTTCGAATGTCAGAGGTTAGCCAATTTGAAAGCAAAAAGCAGCCCAGATGCTTTCAAAAATATAAATTAAACACAAAGTAAGAAATTACAAAAATGTTACTGAGTAAAAAGAAAAACGTTACCTCGCAACTGCACTTGCGTAAAAGTGGAGGTTTTATTTTAATATACTTAGGAAAGTACGTTACTTCTTGAGTGCATGTAAGTAAATGTAACTAGTTACTACCAGCATCTGTTTACAGCACACTTTATAGACTTGTTCATATTATCATTATAAACATTCATTATAAAATTTTCGGTGTGGAAATCGGGAAAAAAATGTCGATTTTTATTATGTTTAGTTATAATATCTTGTCGAAAACATGTTGTGTTTATCTGGGGTGACTAAAAAGACAGGTTTACAGCACTGAGACTGAGTGTTTACTTTTTATTGCTGTTATTACAGTGTTGTTATTGTTATCAGAAATAAACATGTAAGAAACCAATAAACTAAGAAATGCAGTTAAATGATTTAAAGTTTCTGGAGCCCTTGATTTGTTGTATTCTACTCTGTCCATATCTCAGCTAGGGATGTGTTTTGACAAGGATGCTGGCTACAAGTCCAGTTTTTTACTGAGTGCTGAGTGAGTACTGCAAATTGTAAGTCTAGATAGCATCTGTAAGCTTGTCAAGAATGTCCTTTGATATTACTGTACCTTTCTCATATTTGATTTTAATGTTTTCAACTCAGCATAATGGGAAATATATATATATATATATATATATATATATATATATATATATATATATATATAATATATATGTATACAATATATATATAATATAAATATAAGAAATATATATATATATATATATATATATATATATATAGAGAGAGAGAGAGAGAGAGAGAGAGAGAGAGAATTTAATCAAACTATGCCATAATAAATATCATGAGGTTTAAAGCTAATAGTTTAAAATCAGGTACTATATAACATAACCCTGATTATGATTAATATATTGGCCATTACAAACACATTTCATGCTTGAAGATGGCTGCTCTTTCTGATTTTAGACACGCAGCATACATTTGCCATTTTTTCTGTAAGTATAAATATGTTATACTTTGTCAGACACCACATAAGCAAATTAATTAAAATACTTAACTTGAGCCAGTTTAAGACAAATCAGTAATTATATAAGCATGAAATTTGTGCAATGCACTGCAAAAAGAAATCTAGGCAAATGAAATCAAATTGCCAATATATCTAATATTTCTAATATTTTGAGACAGCTATAAAAATATGAAAGTAACTCATTACTAGACGTTGTCAACATGTCAACAAGTAATTCTGTTTGTTGAAATTGTCATTTATTAGCAGGTCATTGTGAAATTATTGTCTGAGACAAGCCATATTATCTACTAATGATCGAGTGAAAAGATAATTTCACTAGATTCGATTATCAGCGTTTTCTCAAGACCTCAAGGAGCGTGTGGACCTCTGAGATAGCACTTCTTTTTACCGTCACAACTCACTGAGACCAAAATTCTAACTGAAATGACTCCTGCTTTTATTTTTTGTTCGTGTAGTGCAATTAAAATGACATATTGTTTAACCTTTAAGTACGTGAGAAATTCTTTATTTTAAAAGAAACATTCTATAATGTGAAACAATTGACTCAAATGACCAGTTGTCTATGCAGGTGTAACGTACTATTTTATCTGTCTGACGTGTATAATTTCATAAATAAGTGCTCCGACAAAACAAAACATAGAAATTAGTTGATTGGGAATAAGACACCATGAATGCGTTTTAACATCATGAATGCGTTTTAAAAAGAACACTTAAATATCTGATATTAATTTTTCACCCTATCATGACTGAATCCACCCACTAAAACTGTCAACCAATCAGCTGGGTTTGGGAGGGGTGGGCTTATGGGTATATAAGCTGCAGACCGAGACTCTCGGTTTAAGGTTCTTCCTCATCAGGACACGCAGAAACCTCCAAAGTCAGCAACATGGTTGAGTGGACAGAATTCGAGCGCGCTACCATCCAGGACATCTTCTCCAAAATGGATTATGAGTCCGTGGGACACAACGCCCTGGCAAGGTACGTTTCTGAAAATGATCTTGAGATCGTACTTTGACAAATGAACGACTTCATTCGTAATTAATTCCTTTCCATCTCTTTATGTTTTCTTCCACTGCTCAGGTGTCTGGTCGTGTACCCCTGGACCCAGAGGTACTTCGCCAAGTTTGGAAACCTGTACAACGCCGCGGCTATCATGGGAAACCCCTTGGTTGCTGCTCACGGCGCAGTTGTGCTCCATGGTCTGGACAGAGCTGTGAAGAACATGGACAACATCAAGGCTACCTACGCTGAACTGAGCGTGCTGCACTCTGAGAAACTGCACGTGGATCCCGACAACTTCAGGGTGAGTCCCGTGAGCTTCACTTATAACGGAAGTAATTTCTTGTGCTAGTGAAGCCACTATTTATTTAAGGCCTGTTTCGGTCGTTTGTTATGTGCTTTGACTCATGTTTATTATTCATCCTCTTTTTCTCCCACAGCTGTTGGCTGATTGTCTTACCATCGTCGTTGCCTCTAAACTGGGGACTGGTTTCACAGCTGATGTGCAGGCAGCTTTCCAGAAGTTCCTGGCTGTTGTCGCCTCTGCTCTGACAAAACAGTACCACTAGGCGCTGAACGGACTTTGACTGATAAAGAGAATCATCAAGTTTCCCGTTTAAAAAACGAGCCTGTATTTGTCAGTTAAAGCAAATAAACATGATCAGAATTGAAGCATGGCTTGTGTTTGTTGATGTGTTTGGCGCAGTGTGTTGCTTATGTTACTCAAAAGGTCAAAAGGTCTGCACGACAAATGATTATAGTGCGGCACATTATCCTGTTATAAAGTGTCTACACGTTACTAACCTAATAGACTTTCATTCATTACAAATGAATCAAACAAATGACCTTTCATGAAGACATTAAAGACAAATACACTGTTTATTTTTTATTTTTTTTCAAATGTCAGAGAGGTCTGCGTAGTCCAAATAAATAAATAAACAAATAAATAAATAAATGTGAGAAATTCTTTATTTTAAAAGAAACATTCTATAATGTGAAACAATTGACTCAAATGACCAGTTGTCTATGCAGGTGTAACGTCATATTTTATCTGTCTGATGTGTATAATTTCATAAATAAGTGCTCCAACAAAACAAAGCTTAGAAATTGAATGGGAATAAGATCATGTAAAGCGGTACAGTTTTAGAGGAAATAAAATGGCACCATAAAAACAATTATAAATAAATTGACATACAATACATGCAAAATACTCTAGTGCACTGTTTATGTAAGCCATGTATAAACATTATATAAAACAATGACAATACAGTAATCCTGTAAAAGGCTTACACATACAGTTGTATGCCAAAAGTTTCGTCAAATTGCATGCAATGTTGACTTTGTAAGTGAAAATAAGTTCATCCTCTACAAAGAACAAACTTTTGCGCATTTTAAGGCATAGTTATTGCAAATTAACGCATAGGCCACAAAAAATGCTATGTTTTATATTTTATTTTTTCTAGTATGTTAAACTGTGCACTAAAATCTTGAGAAAAATGCCATATTGAAGTCTATTCATATTTTCACTTAACAAATCAACAGAATTTTAATTCTAAAATTTGACCAGTAGTGGAAGTGTAGGGCAGACCGAAGAGTAGTACTGTTGTCAACATGTTAATCAGACTAAGAACAGAGTCCTGCAGTAGAGTACTTCTAAACTCACGATAAACACTAACGAGAATTTTCAATATTCCTGAAAATGAAAATAGTGGAACTGCTGTGTTATGTGTTAAGCACAATGTCCTGCAGTAAAGTTTAATACGAACTCACAATCTGCCCTATTAATGAGAAACAGGAAAATAACACGACGATATTAAAAAAAATAAAAATAAAAATGAAACAATGCGCTTGTTATTTTTGTCAAATCAATTACAAAAACATCGTGAATGTATGTAAAAACTAAAATATAGGAGTTCAGTAATATTTTGTGGGCTTTTTAATTTAATTAGAATGCGTGAACCATCCGTTTATTAAAATTATTTGTAAAAGATATTCCGCTGTATTCACAAATGAATCTTTATAATTGTGAAACATTTGCAATAGAGGGATGGTGTGTTTCTGAAGCGAACTCGGCAACACGTCACCATATAAATAGCCAAAACTAACCAGTAAATATCCAGTAAAAATTTTATTTCCAATTTCATTTTGTCATTGTTCTGTTGAACACAGGGCTGAACACAACATTTTATTTATGGTTCACATAAGCACTTAATGAGTTCTGTCATTTTCCTGGACGTTAATGAGAATATATGAGTTAAATATTATTTAGATTTCAGTTGTGTATGAAATGTAATTTTTTTTTTTATTTAAGGCTGAGTGCCACAATAAAAAAAAAATCATCTAAATTTACTGAACCTTGGTAAGCACCAGTGCACGTGTGTTATGTGTGTTGAAGAAGCTTTCATTGATTTTCATTTATTGACAATCGCTCTTTAAATGAGAGGGAAACTCCATAACATATAACACGCACAAGACACACAAATAGTGTTAATTGTAAATAAAAGTTCAAACACATTTAGTTTTGATCATTCAGAACCATTTATTGGATCTTAATGAGACAGGCTGTGCGTCTAATGCGAGCTCGGCAGCTTATCGGTACTTCTCAGAGAGAGCCAGGGCCACAGCAGAGAGGAACTTGTCCATGGCCACGTGCACCTCAGGAATGAAGTCATTGGGGAACTGGATGGCCAGAACCACGAGCAAGTTATGGGACAGGATCTACAGAGAAACAAGGACATGATTAAAAAACTGAAGGCAGAGCAGGAATCGAGAAGGAACTGGCAGCATTAAGAGATACACAACTTACCTTGAAGTTGGCTGGGTCAACACGCAGCTGGAAAGCGTGCAGCTCGCTGAGGGTGAGCAGTCCGTTGGTCAGGTCATCGATTTTGCTGACAGCCTCTGCCACGCCAGACATCACAGTCTTTCCGTGCTTCCTCACGGGGGCAGAGCCGGGGCTCAGGTCATTCCAGTGGGAGAAGTAGGTCTTGGTCTGCGGGTAGACGACCAGCATCCTGTACGGACACGTACAGACGTTACTGTCAGAACTGAAGATAAACTAGACAGTAAACAGAGAGATGGATGAATCAAGCCCCCTACCTAGACAGAGCGTCGGCACCGATATCCTCAGCTTTTGGGGCGACCTTAGCCCAGAAGCTTTTGATGGTATCCTTGTCCTTGGCGGTGAGGCTCATGGTTACAGAGTGCTTTGGAAGAGAACTTCTGTAAAATGTCACAGAGAATCACTCTTTTATACCGCGAGCCGAAGCCGGCACACCCGGGACCCACCTCGAAAACGTGCCAACTTGGAAGCTTTCCAGAGATGAAAGATTAGACTACATTGCGGCTGCTTGCCATAGATAGGCCAGCGTTAAAGGCTGTCGGGTAATACTCAACTGATTTCAACAAATATAACATTTTTTCCTACGTATTTTATGTCAACAGCTGTGAAATGCAATAAATGACATAAACCAAAGCGTATTTGTTGATTTAATATTTTTTACTTGTTTTGTTTTAGTAGCTTACAAGCTAAATCAGTACGAAGTCCACCATTCCTGAGTAAACACATTCATCTATTTGTATGCAATGGAAAAACATCTACTGGCAATTATTACAGTTTTGAATTATTTCCTTCAATGTTACTGCCCTAAAAAGACGTGTAAGTATTCTTTCTTTCCCTCTTTGTTTTATTGGAGCGATTTTGTTAATTTCGTTTGTTCTTTCCTCTTTATAGCAGCAATCCAGACTGTTCTGTAAAACACTGAAAATCGATTTTGTTTAATCACGTCATGTTTAATGGCAGTCAAACCATCCTTCACCCTTTAACAGCATGTTTGAACCTGATTTGCCAGTGTTGAAAATGTCTGTAAAAAGTATTGTAATTGATTTTAGAATATTAAAAAATAATTTTGGTTAACTTATTTTGGGGGGAAATATCTATATACTTTAAATAGAACGCTATGTTGTTTCAAAACCAAATGTATATAATCAAGTGTCTCATACAAAACATAAAAAATTGTTTACATGAAACATCTGCAGATTTTTGGTGATCATAGTCACAAGCGGCAAATTAGTCAAGCAAGATTTCTCAAGTATGCTCATCAAGTAAAGCAGTGTAATGATTTTTGAGCAGCAGTTACTTTAAAATGCTACAGACTTCATCTTTCCTTTGTACATAGTATGAGAGACTTTGAGCAGGTCTCTGTTGTTTTGTAATGGATATTATATCTGCAGGGCAGCACGGTGGCGCAGTGGGTAGCGCTGTTGCCTCACAGCAAGAATGGCCTGGGTTCGATTCCCAGCTGGGCGACCAGGGTCCTTTCTGTGTGGAGTTTGCCTGTTCTCCCCGTGTCTGTGTGGGTTTCCTCCGGGTACTCCGGTTTCCTCCCACAGTCCAAAAACATGCAGTCAGGCTGATTGGACGTGCTAAAATTGCCCCTAGGTGTGAGTGAGTGTGTGATTGTGTGTGTCTGTCTGTCTGCCCTGCGATGGACTGGCGACCTGTCCAGGGTGTATCCTGCCTTCCGCCCAATGACAGCTGGGATAGGCTCCAGCACCCCACCGCGACCCAGAAGGATAAGCGGTTTAGATGATGTATGTATGTATGTATGTATGTATATTATATCTGCAATGGATACTATTGTTTTGCAATGTGATCAATTTGCAAGTAGGTTCAACATGTAGAAAATGTTTTAGTGCTTCTTTTGACACGTCTACTGATCTTTGCACCCTGTTTCAGCATGAGGTATAGAAAAGAAAGTGTCAGTATGGTATTCAGTATTCAGTATGGTGTCAGCCAGACAATATATCCTTGTTGGTGCAGTATTGTACTGAAAATATATATAAATCAAAATTAGTTAGACTGCTTGTACAATGTGAAAAATTTTCGCTTGCACAAAAAAAAAAAACGGGGTACAATTCTTCTTGTTCACTTAACTTCTGTAAATTCTTAGTTATAGATTTTTTGTAAACACCAAAAAAATATTTAGTTGAGGTATTATTTTTTGCACTAAGAAGTACAACTAGTCTTGAGCAAAGCTTTTTAAGTTGCACAAACTTTTATTTCTTTGTTTAACAAAGACAATTGAGTTTATGTATCCATTACATTCTTGCTCATTAAACAAACCTTTCTGACAACTAAAAATATTAATTGAAAATCAGTACAAAGTAATATAAGTTGTGTCATTACACCTAAAGAGCACAGTTAGTGTCTAGCTTTACACTAAAATTGTGAGTGTGTAAAGAAATAGAGGTAGTACAATACAAGTGAACACAGTTGAGCAATCAAAAATCTGCCACAGTTCTAAGAAAATAATGTCTTACATTAAGCCACTATGTACTGTATCATGTCTTAAAATGTAACTATTCTTAAATTTCACCTGTGTTCACCAGTATGTGGACATGAAGTGATTACACCAGAAAGCATTTTGAAGCAATTGCTTTAATTGTCTAAACAACATATACAGAACTTACAGTTCAGACAAAGTGAATGGAATAACAACTGCATAAGTAAAGAATGTTACAATGTTGTTTATGAAAAAAATACAAACTAAATTGGTGTGTGCAGTACACTGTTTAATTTTCCGTTTAATCAGGTTCATTTATTGTTTAAGTGCACTTTGTAGTTCAATTTCAGACTGTAGTTGTAGTAACATAATCCATAAACTCTTTCACCTCCATCATCAATGATCAGGACCCCAACCATGACCACCACAGAGCAGGTATTATTATTAATGGTAGTATGTGTAGTACTGGTACTAGCATACCAGATACAGCAATGCTTTAAACACCTTAGTGTCACTTCTGGAGTGAGAATACCAAGCATCCTGTGGTCACTGATGAAGGACTAGAGGATGACCAACACAAACCATGCAGCAACAGATGAGATATTGTCTCTGACTTTACATTTACATGGTGGACCAACAAGGAGTGTCTAATAAGAGTGGACAGTGAGTGGCCACAGTGTTTCAAAATTCCAGCTTTACTGCTGTTTCCATTACACCACCCTAATAATACACTCTTAGAAACAAAGGTTCTGTGCAGGTACATTTCTCATTCACTAAGGTACAAACAATGTACTCTCAATGTACAACAGTGGTTTTAAGGTCCAACTGCGTACCATAAATAAGACAATAAATCAAATGTTTAAACTGAGTACTCTTATTGTTTTTTGAAAAATATATGCCCATTTTGAATTTGATGCCAACACATTCCAAAAAAGTTGGGACGGGGGCAAGAAAAGTCTGGTAAAGTTGTGTAATGCTAAAAAACACCTGGTGGCTGATTAGCAACAGGTCAGTAACATGATTGACGAGTGTGAACACTCCACCCGCATTCGGGTCTGAAACAAACAGCTGAAACCCACTGCTGGTGGGAACGCATTTTATGATGAAACGAGGGAATTCATCAATAGAGCTGGCTTTCCTCTTCTTCTAGCAGCACGCCAGCGCTGTACTGTCAGTATCATCTGCCTGTTTTAACGTCTGATTTATTGCTCTCATATCGTTCCTGCAGCTCGAGCTGCAGCTGATAAAAATGACAGATGATCCATAAATTAACAGCAAAGATCTCTGTTTGATTTCTGGCCGAGCATCAGCGACCAGAGTAATTAAACTCAACTTGATAAACTAATGACAAAGAAGCAGATATTAAGTAAGGTTTATTACTATTGTTGATTGTGATGACGCTGATCCAAAAGCATGGGTGGAGTGAGGTTTATTTCACATGAGGCCCTAAAACCCTCAAAACTAAAGAGACATCTCCAGATCAAACAGTTACTCCTGTGGGAAGAAGCCACAAGGGTATTTTCAGTGAAATCGTGATGCTCCAAATCACAGTCCACGTCTACCTTTTTTTTCATTTTCCCGTTTCGACATCTCTGCAAACATATCTCATGTTATGTTTTTTAACTTAACTGCAAATTTTGGTTTCTGTGATTGAAGTAAAATGGACGATCAGATCTTTTTCAGGCCCTAATGTATAGGTTTTCAATGTGAGCAATTAAGAAAAAAAAGAAAACTGTTTTAAAAAAAAAGATTATTTTATTTTTTCTGTGGGCCGCTATGCTTTATAGTTATAAACAGGTGGGCCTTGGGGTGAAAAGTTTAAGAATCCCTGATCTATGGTACATAATAAAATTAAAAGATTCAGAGAATCTGGAGAAATCTCTGTATGCAAGGGACACGGCCAAAAACCAGTATTTGCTTGCCATGAGCTTTGGGCCCTCAGGCAGCACTGCACTAAAAACAAACATGATTCTGTAGTGGAAATCACTGCATGGGCTCAGGAACAGTTCTGAAAAACACTGTCTGTGAACACAGTTTGTCGCTGCATCCACAAATGTAAGTTAAAACTCTAAAACGCGAAGAAGAAACCATATATAAACAGGATCCAGAAATGCTGCCACTTTCTCTGGGCCTGAGCTCATTTAAAATGGACTAAAGGGAAATGGAGACGTGTCCTCTGGTCTGACAAATCAACATTCTTTTTGGAAATCACGGACCCTATGTCTTCCAGGCTAAAGACAACTCAGCTTGTTATCGGTGCACAGTTCAAAAGGCAGTATTCAGGATGGTATAGCAGTGCATTAGTGCACATGGCGTGGGTGACATGCATATCTGTGAAGGCACCATGCTGAATGATATATACATGTTTTGGCAACATATGCTGCCATCCAGATGACATCTTTTTCAGGGAACACCTTGCTTATGTCAGCAAGACAATGTCAAACTACATTCTGCAGCTATTACAACAGCATTGCTCTGTATTAAAAGAGTCCGGGTGCTAAACTGGCCTGCCTGCAGTCCAGATTTGTCACCCACTAAAAACATTTGGAATGTTATGAAATGAAAAATACGACAAAGGAGACCCCGTACTGTTGAGCATAGTAATAATATGTAGCACATTATATAAAAATGTATGTCCATACTAACAATTTAATGTTTTTTCTTTGTACTTAAAAATCTTGTAAATCTTATTAGTTTTATATTTTTGCATAATTTTACATTCAAACTCTGTAAGTAAAAGCAAAGTCAGGAAAACAAGGCATTGCGATAGTCCAGGCAGGAAGTAGTCGAAGCAAGAATGATGAGCTTTAAGTCCTTTAGAGCAGCAACATGCTTGAAAGTTTCTACCTCAAGACAGCAGTGAACCTTTTACTGTATGCGATTTAATGTGAACTTATTATCGGTTCCTGCTTGTTGATGGGTAAAA